CTGGCACCCTACCCACTGAGCCACAGGTGCCACCCAGAAGATATATTTTAATGGCTGATATAGTCTTCAATAACAGACTCATGTCAAAAAAATCACTCAGGAAAAATTTATAATTGAATCTAAAATTAAAGATTCTTAAATTAGATTACAGCAAATGCAGTGTGTTGGTCCTCTTTTCTTTGCATAGGTTTTTAATATTTTGTTTGAATTGTTAAAAATGTTAAAATTTGTTTTAAAATTTTAGAATTCAGAGCATGAGCCTCTACTCACAGAAGAAATGGTTTTTTCAGTGGCAGTTGTTTTGAAAGATGGTTAACATATTACTTTAAGCTCTTTGTACTAGAATAGTGGTGTTGTATTTCTTTACTAGAGCTGTGTATATGGTTAGGCAGGCATCATTCATTGGAAGAGCTGTTTACAGCTATTTGGGATGAGAGTGTGTGTATCTTAGTGTTCTGAAAGCTTCCTAGGTGATTCTTCGGTTTAGTTTTGTCTATTGTATTATAATTTTATATTACTTACATTTTAAGGTACAAGTTAATAACTGTTTTCTTGTGCCCAGCTCAATAGAGTGAAAAGAAATGTGGCTTTCTGCATCTTTTAATATTTGTTAATTAACTTAATTTTAAAAGTAGGGAATAAGAAGGGAGTTTGTTTACTTTATGAGGCTTAATTAGGAAAGAAAAATTTTATTTGTTTCACACTTAACACCCAGGAATCTGTGTGCTCTCCTCTTTATCTTCTAATGTAATTTAAACTCAATGCCTAAAGACCCTGATTCAAGGAAAATACTATCAGTGCTTGTCTCTGAGCTCTGAATTTTCCAGTCCCTGGTTTTGGAATGTGGAGGAGATGAAAGAAAACAGACTTGAGAATATGCAAACATGAACTCAGACCTTCCCCTGAAGGACCTCACCCAAAACTCCTCCAGCTCCTAAATCTCACTTTAAAATGCATTTGTGGCTTTATCTGAGTTTTGGGTTGTCTTAAGGGAGTATAGACGTTAGAACCTATTGCATACAGGTAGGAAAGAGACTAAAATGCCTGCTTGGAAGATAGTGCTGTTTCTTTTTCTCCCCAGGATGATTTTGTGTTTAGTATGCTTCTTAGGATGGTAGGATACAAATTAGAGTAGAAAGGTATGTTTTAAGACTAGTCCTAGATAGTGTGGAATAGGAATAAATTTAAGGTATAACTAAGAAAGACTTCAGATTGTTCTTGAAATAGTAAGTGGTCTATCTTATATTTTGTCAGAATTTATATTTTTATTGATTTTCATTCTATTGTTAATGTTCTTCACTCTATTAATAGACACATGTGTGCACACACATTTACACACAATCAAAAAATTTCTTTATTTCCTTATTTGAAGAAAATAAATTTGTTAATTTGAAGAAACTCTGGAAGGAGTTAGTATTTGTGTGGCTAGTATTTTATTAGAAGAAACTCTAAAAGGAACCAGGAGAAACCAATAACATCTTGTGGGTATGAGGGATAGCTATGGTATGGGGGGGTGCGTAAATGGAGGATAGGGTTAGGGAGATTATTGACTATATACTTTTTAATATTACCAAAATATTTAAGTGTATAAATACATTCCCTATATAAAATATTAAAATAAGGATGGTCAGGGTGATTATTGTTTTAAGTAATATGTGTTCAGAGTAAGCAAAAACAGGAAAACACTAAAAGGCACAAAAATCTCAGTCAACATAGAGATAATGTCATTAGTATTTTGTTAGAAATTATCTCAGTCTGGCTCTGCGCCTGTGGCTCGAGCGGCTGAGGCGCCAGCCACATACACCTAAGGTGGCGGGTTCGAATCCCTAGCCCGGGCCCGCCAAACAACAACAATGGCTGCAACCAAAAAA